ATATATACATATACATATACATATACATATACATGACACAGGAATCACTTGCTGGTCCTAAATGCTTAACTAAAGTAATTTTCTAATTAGTCTGCTAATGTTTGTGGTAAGGCTTGCCAACAGCAAGGGTTCCCTCAGGTCTCTGAACCTGATTGCTTGGCTTTAAAACATATTCGTCTTGTAGCTGGAATACCTTGAGCCCATTTAGGTTTCTGACCGAAACCACTGAACCGCCTCATCCCTGTCAAATGCTGAGGGTAAGAACTACTCTATTTGAAGCAGCTGGGGATTATAAAGATAACTAGTGTCAGCACAAATTTGCCAGACCAAAGTATTCTTAAAATCTGTACTACAGTGTAACCTCCTTTGCCATAGACTTTGGGCCCTGCAAGTACAGTGTCGATCAGATTCTAAGTAAACAGATGATTAATCACACCAGGAGCATTAATCTTGCATCTTTCTCTCAAATCCTTATTCCTCCTTTTCTAATAAAACTGGAGATGGCATTGTCTTATTTCACTTAAACATGAGCTTAATGCCTCTCCTGCAGGAAGACAGTAAAACATTCTGTTAACTGTTGAAGAAATCATTTGTCATCGGTGGAACAATTACACTGAGAAAGAGCTGACAGAATGGGCCACTTTCTGCTAATCGTGGCAACATTTTGCTGTACAGCAAGAAACCTTCTGCAATTCAGCCAAGCTAATAGGTATGTGTCAAAAACAATGTTTCTGTAACAAAACTTTGTTACATAAAATATTTCTCTCCCCTTCCCAGACAACTGTTTAAGATGATAAATGAGGAGCTGCCATTCTTCCATATAATTATTGTCTGGAAAAAAAATATTTGCTGACAGCTGACTATGCTTTCTAATATTGATTACATGGAAGGGCTTAGATAGGTTCATAAAATGTTTTTCTAGTTTATTATCCTTTATAAATAAAAAATGGTTATAAAAACAAGAGGAAAGTGTAAGAGATATTATATAAAGAATGGAAAAGCTGGGGAAATATAGGAAAGCCACACAAAATAATGAATTTATTATGGCTGCCTGAAGTAATGGAGCAACTTGTCCAGACTAGCTAATTAAAAAAGGAAGGTTGGAGTTGCGTTGCATCTCATAGGTGAGTGATTTATGCTGTGGAGGCATAGAATTAAAAGTCATCTTAGGAATGTGAGATGGAACACTTTTAATAATTAGAAGGCTTCACCTTCAAATAGACATGGAAGGCATCCCATTCTGATTAATGAAAAGATAAAGATCCTTGATACTTTATATGTATGATTTGGGGAGGACCCATATTAGAGAAAAAAGAGTTAGCCTTGAGGTACTGGGATTTTCTCAATGTGGGCCTAAATTTTCATTTAATGAATTGTACAAAGGTACTTGATGATGAGACAAAGTCCATTCCTGTTTCCCAGAGGCTATTGACTGTGATCAAAAACAAAGTAGAATAAATTATCATGAATAATTGAATAGAAGATGAGAATTTGTAAAGGTGGACCTTGTGCCATCCAATACTACATTTCCTTAAACAGGTGTGCAGCTTTATATGCTGATCCCACTGTCTTGATCTCCTTCCTGTGACTTGAAGCACCATTGTTACAGATGACTGTAATGTCATCATCATAACCAACACCTTAAAAGTGGTAGCCTGTGGTGCAGAAAAGGTAGAGAAAGCAAGAACACAATGATGTAGTATAATAATAATAATAATAATAATAATAATAATAATAATAATAATAATAAATTTCTTACCTGCGTCTCCCCATGGATCGCAGAGGAGAACAACAACAATTAACAAACAAACACCATCAGTTAAAACACACATCAGTTTAAAAGGACAAGATGTACACATATTAAAACAATCCACATCTAAAATTCATCATTTAAAATTTACAATTTAAAAATAATCTGGATAAGCCTGCTGGACGAGATTGCTTTTTTAAAATCAGACACTGTATTCAGCTCTCAAATCTCTTCTGGCAGGCCAGCCTGCAGTCTAGGAGTGGCTGAAGAAAAGGTCCTCTGGCTGACAGTTGCGAACCTAGCCTTGGCTGACTGGAGTATGTGTCTGCCCGAGGTCCTGAATGTGTGGAGCAGTTTATATGGGAAGAGGCAATCTTGTAGGTAACCTGGACAAACCATGTGGGGCTGTGTTTGTGGATGCATGGCATGCATGCCGTTTGTGGCACTCAAAGCCATCTTAGCAGGCATGCGGCAGCCACAGCTGTGGCCCAGCTCTCCCATGGAAAACCAAGCTCCAAAAAGGAGGGGTGGAAGTCCCAAGGGGGACATCACTACCTTCTCCTCCTCCCAGACGTGGGGTGGTGGTGGTTATGTGCCCTGAAGTTGTTTCTGGCAACCCTGGAGCAGCCCTATCACCGCAGGGGTGTGTGTATGTGTCTCAGTAAGCTTCGTCAGAGAGGATTTGCCTTTGCTGTCCTCTGAGGCTGAGAAAGTGTGACCTGAATGTTTGGGGAGAGTTTTGTGTGTCTTGAAGTTGTTTCTGGCAACCCTAAGGTGACCCTATCATGGGGATTTCTTGGTAAGTTTAATCAGAGGGGGTTTATCATCGCCATCTCTTAGACTGAGAGATTGTGACTTTGAGTGTGTGTGTGTGTATTTGTGCCTTCACATCATTTCTGGTGACCCTATCACAGGATTTTCTTGGCAGACTTGGTCAGAGGACATTTACCATTGCCTTCCCCTGAGGCTGAGAGAGTGTGACTTGTCCATGGTCAACCACTGGGTTTCACATAGCCAAGAGGGAGTTGAACCCTGGTCTCCAAAGTCATAGGAGATTACGGGCCTCAGCAGACGGCTAATTGAGTCGTCTTCCGGGCCCCGAAGAGGAGGGGCAGCCGCACGAGTGGCGCCCCTTCCTCTTCCTGAGGTTGCCCTCGGAGTCACCAGCCCTTCGCACGGCTGGCGCTCTGGGGATGACCTCACGCCGTGGCAACTAGACGCGCCATGGCGTTTGAGTCAGGGAAAGGGCGCCCGCTGCTTTTAGGGTGCACTTTCCCTGTCTTGAGGAAGGAGCGCTCCGCAGGAGCGCCGGGATGCGGAGGCTGCATCCCCGCGGCGCTCCGTCCGGCAGCGGCTCCAGGGCCTCCGTGTGCTGAGGCCCTACCTCACTAGTTTATAAACCAGCTTACCTCAGCTGGCTTAAAATTAGAAGCAGCTGGCATCCTGATAGTATCACACACATTTAGCTGCTGAAATTGCTGCCTGGCTACAGCCTGGCTCCATTGCTGCTTCAGAGGGTGCTCCTCATGCCCCTTTTTGAAGCCAGGAGTTTTCTGGCTTGAAAAAATGACCACCAGAGCAATAGCCCAAGGATAGTCTCCATAGTCCAACACTAAAACCACTATGCCACCAGGTAGTTTGTCCTCCTTTGTAGTTAGGTGACCAGGCAACCTCCTTTTCCAGAACACAATGTACATTTCAATCTTCTGCCCAAGATGAATTTTAGAATTCACATTTTGAGCATGACTAAAAACCCTGAATTTATATTTATATTAAGTTTTGAGCTTAAGTTTTATATTAACTGGGGTTTTTTTAGTCCTACATTGTTCTTAACGTCTCACATTTTGTGGTGCGGTGCTCCTTCTTCATGGTTAGGCAAACAAACATCCTCCTTTTCCAGGACACATCCTACATTTCAACCTTTTGTCCAGGAGCATGATGAAGAAGCATGAATTTCTATGTATATTAAATGTTTTTAGCTTATATTTCATGTTAAGTGTTTTTTTTAGTCCTACATTGTTCTTGCATGCCCTCCATTTTGTGGTGCCTTGTCATTCTCTGTGGTTAGGACAACATCTGATCACCCTGCCCCTTGAATGCCATTGCAAGAAACAGCATGGATAACATGGGAATATCTACATTTGTGTGTTGTGTGGGGCAGGGAGTGTGAGAAGCATGAATGCACATGCCTAGAAGGCTAGACTCATGGCTCTCCAAAGAGGATGCACTACAGATAGAAGCTTGCCTCTAAAAGGGAGTTGTGCTCTTGTGCCAGCTCCCCATCCTCCTTCTTGTGACTTATAGAGGAATAGTATGTGTGTGTTTTGTTTTTTGTTTCAATGAGGAGTGTAAACAGCGCACAGCACAAAGCTAGAGACATGTGGTGGCCTGGAGATGAGAGAGTGATCCTTGACTGCCTCTCCCTTGGCTAAATTTAGCTAGCCCAAATGAACATCATGGCTTCCTCTTGTTGCTAATTCTGGCCCATCTAATGTATTTAAATCTTGACTTTAAAGTTCTGCTGGACAAAGTGATCAGTTGTTGTCCTAACAGCAAAGGAGAACAAGGCACTGCAAAACGCTGGACATTCAAGAAATAATGTAGGACATGAGCAAAGAAAAGCTAGAAACACTTAATATAAATGTAAATTCATGCTTCTTGGTGATGTTCCAGCTGGAGGACGTTTTGAAATTCCTTCTGGGCAGAAGGTTTGAATGTAGTATGGGTCCTGGAAAAGGAAGACGCCTGGTCACCTAAGCACAAAGGAGGACAAAGCCCTGCAAAATGTTAGACCTGTGGGGAAAAATGTAGGTCATGAGCAAAGGAAGACAATGGACCATAAAATGTTGGACTAAAAAACACAAAATAAAACTTAAGCTACATACAATATAAATTCATACTAGTCATACTCAAAAGGGAGGACATTTTGAGATTCTTCCTGGACAGAAGCTTGAAATGTAGGATGTACACATGTAGATTTCTTCAGAGGGAGTTGCCATTGCCTTCTGAGGCTGAGAGTGTGTGATTTGCCCAAGGTCACCTGGTGAATTTCTGTGGCTTCATGGGGAATTGAACCCAGATCTTCCAGAGGATTAGTCCAACACTCAAACCGCTACACCACCCTTGTGTCCAAAACACAACAAACCTGTTAACAGGATTTTCTTTGTGAGATTTGTTCAGAAGGGATTGCCCTTAACATCCCCTGAGGCTGAGAAAGTGTGACTTGCCCAAAGTTACCCAGTGGGTTTCTTGCCTGAGCAGGGAATCGAACCTTGATCTCCTGAGTCACAGTCAAACATTCAAATCTTTACACCATGCTGGCTTTTGTTGGTCATATAGCAAAGTACAATAACATCCAAAATCCACAAATTAGTGATATTCAGACACTAGTGTTAGGGCTGCATCCACACTCTAGAAATAATCCAGTTTGGCACTGCTTTAACTACCAGAGCTGAAGGTTATGGGATCCTGGGTTTTGTAGGTTGGTGAGATAGTTAGAGTGCTCTAGTGCCACAATAAACAACAATTCCCAGGATCCCCTAGCACTGAGCCAGAGCAGTTAAAGCAGTCTCAGGCTGGATTATTTCTGCAGGGTGTTCTGGACCTCTGACTTCAGCTGTGGTCCTGCCCCCTTGGTCCCACCCCTTCAAAATCCCACCCCCAGAAGTCCCTTTCGGAAGTCCCTTCCCCAGCACCTGATGACACCCAGTGTAGGAATACCACTGAGTTTGGGCACTTGGCCTCTAAAAGGTTCGCAATCACTGATGTAGGGCTTTAAAGGTAATAACCAACACTTTGCCTGGCAGTCAGTGGAGTGATTTTAATATTGGTGTAATGTGATCACTCCTGGATGTCCCAGTAATCAGTCTGCCTGCTGTGTTTTGAACTAACTGAAGTTTCCAAACTTGGTACAGAATGTCGATTTATTTGTGGCTGTGTTGTATTAGCAGAGATCTCGTGCTGAAATGCTAGGCATCCATCCATCAGCCATCTCCATCTGGAACTGAGTTGAGCTGACCTCATCACTCTGGTATGCAGCTCCTTGTAGTTTCAAGCAGTTTGCCATTAATCCAGCCCAGAACAGAGTTCTTCATAAGAAGGTGTTTATTCATGATTACATTGCAAAGAGAAAAGCTATATACATATCCATCATCCAGGTATGAAGAGCTTGAACACACACACAGCAAAAAAATTGCATAATTTGTAAGAACAAAGGAGGCTCTTAAACCAAACTCCAAACTCCTCCCATGTGTGGATACCTCCATAGACAATTTGCTGAATAGCTTTTATCCCAGCCTCTAATCCAGCCTCTTGCTGTGAGTCATGTGTCATGCTATCCTGGTTCCCAAACAACAAAGATGAGCTCATTGTTTATGGTTTATCTATTTGTTCCCAGAACACTTGCCCTTGCTGTGTTGCTTACACATTTGCCACCTGCAGGCCCAAACTCTTTTCAGTAGAAATTTTCCCACATCTGTACATTTCCACTTTTGACTACATATCCCAACACTCCTAACACAGAAGTAGCCAACGTACAGCACATTACAGAAGTCCAACTCAGAGGTTACCAGTGTGTGCACTGCTATCTTTAGGTCACGGGTAGGCAACCTTTCACCTTTAAGGGCCAAGGGACTTCAGCTCCCAGAATCCCAGGAGCTATTGGCCAACATGAGACTATTGGCAACATGGCTGAGGCTTCTGGGAGCTGAAGTCCCTCGGCCCTTAAAGGGGAAAGGTTGCCTATCCCTGCTTTAGGTCTTCCAGCTCCAGATAGGGGCATAGCTGGCATAACAGCTGAAGCTGAGAGTAAGCACTTCTGGCCATCCCATCTATCTGAGCTGTCATATGGAGCTATGGATCCCAAGCTGTGAACACAGTATTTCAGGGGGAAAGTAACCCCATCCAGGACTGGTTGAGACACCTCCAAACCCATGTTGGTAACTTGGACAGTATGCACCTCTGTCTTGTTTGAATACAGCCTACAGCACATTACCTCATCTAGGCATTCATTCAGAGGACAAAACTATCTTTAGCTGAAGCTGTATCTATATCACAGTGATCACACTAGCAATGGATATATGCATATATTTAAATTATATCCCATCCTTTTACTTGTACAGGGTGCAAGGCAGCTTGCAAGCTTAAAAAAACCCACAGAGTACAGTTAAGACATTATTTATACAAAAGCTAAAAAAATCCATTAGAAGACAGTTCAATTAAAAACAGAAGTTTAAAAACAATATAAAAAACTGTGATATAATATTAAAAAAAGATAGAAACACAGTTGCTAAACAACCATGGAATGACAAGAGCAGACACAGAAAACTAGGAACTCCCACGGCACCAAGGAACTCCCGCAGTGCCTCTTGGTTTGTCTTTGTGGACGTGGAGCGTACGCCCAGTAGCTCCTTTGCAAATGGGCTCCGTTGCCTAGCCTTCCCTCTACTGAGCCAGGTCACCTGTGGTCTCAAGCTGGTCAGGGTCATTGTCTGCTGCTGCTGGGCTCTGCACTAAGCAGCCAAAGGGTTTACAACTTGCACAAGAATGAAGATCAAGAAACATGGCAGCAATCCCATCAAGCGGCTCCCTTGTAGCGACCCATAACTATTACAGAAGGCATCTGGGTTCCACTTCTGGCAACAGCTCCTGTGGAAGTGCAGAGTACTCTGGGGAAGTCATCCCATATCATCCAGGTCTTCCCAAGACTGATCCTGGACACTGGTGGGCAAGCTTCCTCTTTGGAAAACCAACCCATCCAGTCATGACAACTGTATTGGAATCCCTAGAGAACTCAGGCACTTTCCAGGTGGCAAACGGCATGATCACATGTGGCCTGGCTCAGGAAATGATGAGGAAGTGCCACACCAGCAAACACAGCAAAACCAACACAGGTCCCACTGTGTGAGGAGTTTGATGGCCCACAAGCTGGCCCTTCTGACTTGGAAGGCTAGGAGTCAGAGTCCCATTTTTCACTCCCCCTCCCCGTAGAATAGGTAGGCTGCTTCAAGTACCACTTTAGACATAGGTTTTTATAAGAACAAAAATGCCAACTTAAAGAGAAGAACACCAAACAAACCTTCTACACCATCTTTTCTACTCTCTTTTATTTCTTTTTGGTCAATGCAACTACGTCTTTCTTTTTCCAACACAGCCTTGGTAACATGCTCTCTTTTATTATTATTATTATTTTGTACTCGTCTACAGAAATTAATAAAGCCTGAGCAGCCTTTAAAAAAAATTGAGAACCAAGCCAAATTTGATGAAGAATAAAAGAGAGTTGAAAGTTTAAAATATTTGTTTTTTCTAGCTGAGGAAGAGGTCAATGTAGAGCTGAATGAGAATCACCTTCACAGATTTAAAATCATTCAAGACTGCTTATATAGAAAGGTTCTCAAGTGTAAATATAATACTCAGAAAGAAATTCAAAAACAGTTGGTAGTCCCTCAGAAATATAGAAGCCAGAGGGCCTCTACAGATGGGTGGCTATGGGCTGCCCCAAGAAGCTGAGGATTGGGGCCAAGGCTGCCCCATGCCTTTACCCCAATCCACACTTTCGGTGGCTGGGAAAGGAGCACTAAAATAGCCCAGAAAGGGTGCTGAAAGAGCCATTGCACCACTCTTCTGCATCTATTCCTGCTCAGCCCGTGCAGAGGTTGGGCCAGGAGGACATAATCAGAGCACTCACTGTGTCCAATGGTGGGCGCTGTGATGATGTCCTTGGGAAGGGGTTGGGGCGTCCGGCGTCCAGCTGCCCCTCCACTTCCCTGGCTCCAAGATGGCACTTTGTGCTGTCTGCAGAGCACCAGATACTGGAAATAGCCCATTCTAGTTCATTTGGAGGTTATTTAGGAATTAAGAAAACTGATCAAAGAGTCTCTTTAAATTTTTATTGGCCAAAGATGGGACAAGGTATAAAATATTTTTGTAAATCTTATGACATTTGTCAAAAAGTGGGAACAAGGTGAGATCAGACCAGAGCCAAGCTGTGTCCATTACCAGTCATGTTGCAGCCATTTCAGAGAAGTTACAGAGAAGATCAATGATGTAAACTATATAGTCAACTTGGGAGATGATGTGGAGTGTAAATTGATGCATGTAAATATCCTGAAGCCCTATGTTAGGTGGGAAAACTTGGTATTATATGCTGTTAGAGAGATGGAGAATGAAGGCATTGTCCTTCCTCAGTGTAAATGTGAAAATGCAGGGAAAGAAAAGACACAAGAGGTTACTCTTGACACTTTTTTTACTCCCCAGCAACAGTCCAAAATACGAATGTGTTAAAAGAGTTTGAGGATATCTTTTCAGATGTACCCAGAAAAGTCCATGGCATATATCATAATATCAATATTGGAGAAGCAAGCCCCATAACCACTCTTCCAGATCGAGTCACCGGTACGTTAGCCGACAGTATTGGGGAGGAAATTGATATAATGATAAAGATGGGGATTATTGTACCATCTAATAGTCCTTGGGCTTCACCAGTAGTGTTAGTAGAAAAACCCGACCATACTATTTGATTTTGTGTTGATTATAGATGGTTAAATAAAATCACCCAACCTGATGCCTATCCTATGACTGGAACTGTGGATTTGGATGAAAGGATGGAAAGGGCTCGATATATCTCAACATTAGATCTGATAAAAGGATATTGGCAGGTACCCATGTGTCCTAAAGATCAGATGAAATCTGCCTTTGTTACACAATAGAGGCTTATATGAATTTACAGTGTTGCCCTTTGGATTAAAGAATGCTCTGTTGATGTTTCAGAGATTGGTAGACAACATTTTAGTGGGGCTAAAGCACCGTGTGGTAGCATACATCAATTATATTGGTATCTTTAGTAATTCCTGGTATGAACATATACACTATCTTACTGAAGTTCTAAACAGACTTAGGAAGAGTGGGGTGACAGTTAAAAGTTCCAAGTGCCATCTAGGCAAAAGAGAAAGCCAGTACTTGGGATACATTGTAGTTAGTGGGACCATCAAGGCAGAAATTTCTAAGGTGGAAGCCATAGCTAACTGGCCAGGGCCTATGTCCCCAAAAAGGGTGAAGTCATTTTTGGGATTAACAGGGTATTATCGAAAATTTATTCCCAATTTCAGCAGCATTGCAAGCCCTTTGTCCGATTTAACCAAAAAGGACAAGCCTGCTAAAGTCACTTGGTCAGATAAGTGTGAAGATGCTTTCAGGGAGTTAAAACACCTAATGACTTCTGGTTATGATGGAGAGGCGAACAGAGGTGCGAGGCTTAGTTCTGTGCATTTCCAGAGCTTTTGCCTGGAATTTCTAACCGGGGAGGTTAGGAAAGGTCAGGGCTCA